TCCCTGCACGTTTGGGACTGGGTTCAGCCCTGTGGGTAGTGTGGGTGGGTCCTTGCTCTTGGGGAGATGTGCTGAGCTTCCTGTCTGGCTGCTCCTCTGCAGGGGGGAGCAGTGCCTGGTTGCCTGCAAATCCGGGGGGGTTGGGGTCAGTTGTGGGGAGCAGACCCGGCTGCAAAGGGCAGAGTTTTCATACAGTAACAAAACGTTGTCTCGTGTTTGTGTTCTCCTGTGCATCACCAGCCTTCAGATGCAGCCCTGAGATGGGACCCACCACTACACTGGATCAGGTTGCCCTGTTCCAGTTGTGGCTGCCCCATCCCTGGGGGTGTTGAAGGGCAGGTTGGATGGGGCTTGGAGCAACCTGGGCTGCTGGGAGGTGTCCCTGCCCATGCAGGGGGGTTGGAACTAGATGGCAAGGCCAGATGGAGGGAAAATTATCAATATCTTTAAGGTCCCTGCCAACTCAAACCATCTATGATTCTAGGAGAGGCTCTGAGGTGTTAGGGAGACAGGCCCAAGTGCTGGTGTGGAAAAGTCCTCTTCACAGCAGCATCCCCAGGCTCCACGTCCATCTGTGTGTGCACAGGGTGAGTCTGTGGGAGGCTGGGGAGGGTTTCAGGGGTGGGATGGGGTGAATCTCAACACAGGTGTTTTAGCTCTAAAAACCCCTCAAGTGCTGGTGTGGCCTGACCATGGGGACAGAGGAACAGTCCAGTGTGAAGGAGCCACAGGCTCAGGAGGGACCTCTTGTCTGTGAGGGCCAGGCTGCCCAGGGAGGCTCCTCTGGAGACATCCCAGCCCCTCTGGAGGTTCCTGTGGGACCTGCTGGAGGTGACCCTGCTCTAGGGGGTTGGATGGGTGATCTCCAGAGCTCCCTTCCCACCCCCCCAGCCCTGTACTGCCTTTATCCACCAGCCCAGAACATCCTGCCCCGCCGTCCCCGCCCCGTCCTGTTCAAAACCAAACAAGACAGAAGCTCTTGGGCGCAGTTTGAGGAAACCAGGCGGGTGGGGACGGGTTTAACCCCTGCCATGCAGCCCCGCAGCAGGGAGGGAGGAGCTGTACCTCCCCACGGGCTGCTGGCATTTCCCCCGGGCATGTCCGGGTGTGTTTGTCACGAGTGGGGGGCTCGGGAGGTCGCACAGAAGGCAGAGGAACCAGCATCCCAACCCCAGCTGCTCCCAGCTCTGCACAACCACCCGCACCTTCTGCCGCTCTTGGTGGTTGGTTGGGTTGGGTTTTTTTGCCTCCCACCGACTGAAAAGTTGTTAAAAATCTGCTCGAGTTGATGTCGTGGGTCCCGGGGGAAACCGGGAGGTGCCTCCTGTACCCGCCGTGGGACCCGGGAGCTGGGAACTGCTGGAGCTGGGAACTGC